GCTGTTCATGGTGTGAAAAAGCCTTCACTTCACCCAGCCCATTAAATAAACTAAACCTGAAACTTAACTCTATAATGTATAAGTCATTCTCTGTGCTGTTCTGTGTGTGCCTGTGCTATAGACTATAATAGACCTACATATGTTAGCACACCTGAGGGGCGGAGGTGGGGGAGGGGGTGGAGGTGAGAACAGCGAGACATAGATAACCACTTTCCTGGAAATAACACAACATTACACCAAACGGGCGGAGTCAGAATTAATAGGGGATGCCCATTAGCGCGATTGGGTAAAGTCGGGTGCTGTCGTGTCGTTGGGAGGGGTCGTTTTCTAGTGGTTTCAGTGCACTCTACAAACCCGCCGCGATTGTATCCGACGACCTGGAAGTTTAAGTAGAGAAACCTTTAACCTCAATGGCTTCCAGGGCTTCTTTCAACGGTTCCCTGTTGCAGTGCTGCAGCAGCCAGGAATCTCATACACATGGGTTACATCGATAACTTTCTATTATCAAACATCGTTCAAAACGATATTCAATATATCGAAAAAGTGTCTGCAGAAGTCTGTGCATTCGTTCAGATGGCGCTGCATGCAGTCTTTGTTTTGAAGCTCCCTTCCGTTTCTCTAGAAGAAGAAGAAGAATAGCACAGTTTGTTAGTTTCGCTTTTTTTCCCCACACAAGTAGTGTAAATCTGTTCACAAAGTCCGACTTTTTCGAAGAGGGTGCCACCGGATTTTGAGTGTCAACATGGACACGAGACTCAGCCTTGTTGTGATTGGTGCAAACCACCAGATCGCGCGACTCGCAGGCCTGAAAACAAACGCGTTTGTTTTTGCAGGTCACCGACCGAGTCGATCGGTTTGTGCCACGATAGCCGCTTTGAACCCTCAGTTTGGCTAGCCCCGACTATCAAATCTCGCTAATGGGCATCCCCTTTAACGAAAAAAAAAATATTGTCACGTCACCCTTGCCTCTTTACTTTTCTTCCAGGCCCACAATAAAAAGTAGCAAAACCCAACGGAACCAAAACAAAACGAAAACAATAACAACAAAATTGATAACAGCAGCAACTCCACCACCACCATCGCCACTACCAACAACAACAACAACAACAACAACAATAAAAACAACAACAACAACAACAACAACAACAACAACAACAACAACAACAACAACAA